ACGGATTTTTTTTTTTTGACAAAAAATGAGGACCGAATACCGAACCGAATGTATTGGTTCGGTTTCAGTACCAGTTAGGACCGAAACTTAAAGTTAATAAAAATAAAACAATCAAAACCAAATCGCAAAAGTTGAAGAATTAAAAGTTCAACAATTGCAAATGTTCAATATATCAAAAACCAATCCCTTGACTTTCATCCTTGGAGGAGCCGACTTTTTTGATATGATGGTGATACCGATTTCTTGATTGACAAAACCGTAGGGGCCTTCTCACGCCTGCCACCAGTGGAAGCAAGCACCTTGAAGGGAGTTTTTTTTGTTATGCGATTTTTTGAATTCAAATGGAGGAAGTATGGATTTATTTAGGAATAGATATGGATTATTAGGAATAGATATGGTTTAGTTTTAGGAAAAAGAGATGATTAGTTAGGAGATAGAGATAGAATTGGAATAGCCAAAATGCCCCTTGAGTTACCCGGTTTGGTACCCTTTTTCGGTATAATCCGGATACTGAATACCGAAAACCAAAATTCACGGATTTTTGGGACGGAATACCGAACCGAATATGAGAATTAGGTATCGGTTCAACACGGGATCGGTACGGGACCTGTTCGGTTGGGGAAAAAGGTATGGGAAACTCATCCCTACTATTTATACAAGACCCATGCATTACTGACTTGTACCATTTTGGCATTAACTATTTGTACTTTGTTTATCCATATTACTAAAATGACTTGCTAACCCTTAGGGTGTAACATGCATGAATTGGCTTACATAGTTAACTGCAAAGTAAAATCAAGTTTGGTATGTGCTAGGTATATCAGTTGACGAACAAGACATTGGAATCTCCCCTTGTCGACTGGAACCGTAGAAGTAACATCATGCTTTATATTAGAACCCATAGGAGTAGAGGCTGATCGAGATCCTAGCATCTCGACATCTTTTTGCAAGTCCAAGGTATATTTCTTTTGAGACTAGCTAATTGTTGATTTCGTTCTTGCAATCTCCATTCCCAAGAAGTATTGTAATGGAACCAAGGTCTTTCATTTCGAACAATTTAGCTAGATGGGCTTTGATTTTTGTGATGGCCACGCCATGATCTCCTGTAAGTATAATGTTGTTGACATATACTATTAGGATAACAATCTTACCATGCTCTCTAAGATAGAAAAGAATGTCATTGGAATGGGCTTGAGTATACCCAAATTGTTTAACCATTTGAGTGAATCGATCAAACCATGCTTTTAGGGGACTGTTTGAGACCATAAATGGTTTTCTTGAGATGACAAACGTTATGGGTGCCATTTGGAGCATCAAAAATCGAGGGGTAAGTCCATGTAAACTTCATCGTTGAGGTTGCCATTTAGGAATGCATTTTTTACGTCTAGTTGATGAAGAGGCCAATCGAAGTTGGTAGTTGGTAGTAAGTGAGAGGAGAACCTGGATGGTATTAAATTTTGCAACTGAGGCAAATGTTTCCTAATAATCTATTCTGTATGTTTATGTGTAGCCTTTTGCTACTAACCGAGCCTTGTATCTTTCAATAGAGCCATCACTCTTGTACTTAGCCGTGAACACCCACCTTTCCGTAGGATCATTTACCCATGTACCATTCCTTTGAAGGGAACGAAGCTCTTCAAATACCGCAACCCTCCACTTATTGTCCTGTAAAGCTTCTTGAATATTGGCCGGTTCATTAGTTAAAGACAGATTTGAAACTAGAGCCTTCATAGGTGTAGCTAGATGGGCATAGCTAGAAATTTGGAAATAGGATGAGTGCAAGAGCGTGTAATTTCTGAATGCAATCGGTACATCAAGATCAGATTTCGAAGGCAACTCTTGGGTACCATAGACTTTGGTGTAATTCCTTTCCTTCAGATGTATGTGATTGGGAAGGACTCGGCTTGGCTTGTGGGTTGGGTGGGGACATGTTGTGGGGTTGTAGGTGATGGAGAGGCCGAACATGGAGAGATAGGATCAAATGTTTCTGGAATTGTGGGTGTGGGTGAGGTAGCTTCTGGCTGGTTATTTGCTGAGGTGGTTGGAGAAAATTTCCTAGACCGCCATTGCAGTTTGGTTTGTGGTTTGGAGGTTAAACTACCAAACTGAACCGCGAACGCCCCTATTAGTAGAGAGGACGTTAGAGAGAGGAGCATCAGAGGCAGGGAAGGCCATGGTTTCACTTGTTTGTTAGATCATGTCTTATGTTTCTAGGGAGTGTGATTTCACAAGTGCAAGGGCATGAAAAGAAAAATGATGACTTAATGGATGCAACGCTCTTCAATTGGCTTAGCGAATAAGCCACCATATGTTTCATTAAGCCACAACCGAACAACCCTGTAGGATAAGCCATACATCCCATACAACCCATCAGGACGTTATCGAACAATCTCTAAGCCTATATAATTTTGCTAATATATAACAAGTACAAGTGCCCCTCCGATCTCTGTACTCTAACCCAAAGTGGTCGATGATGTTCTACTCTTTATCACTCCATACTGTCATATGAATACCATTTTTTGTGTATTCATACATGGTTAGACAGGAATTTTAAGTAGGTTAGTACAGTTGCACCCCTTTTTTTTCTATACTAGTCGGTAAGTATCTTGACCAAAAAAAAAAAAAAAAAATAATCCCATGTGTGATTCCAAGCGGATTAATCTCCT